ACGTGGCATTTATTCTTTCAGATATTGAACTAAATCTATTTTACTGTGATATAGTTTTGTAAAAGAGCACTAAGGTCTGAGAAGGAGTTGAATTACTGAGTGTGTGGGAGGAAGAAAGAACAGCTGCAAACAAGACCCTGTTACAGGAACTGGGTTAAGGTTGTGTGTTTTACAATCCTGCCAAAGAAAATCATGGACATATATGTAAATTTTCCCTGAAGCATGTAGAACAGACAGTTATTTCAAAACTTCAGTGTAGATGTGTGCTTTTTAAATATCACACACTTTCTCCTTTTTTTGGATTCTAGTCGATCAGAAAAATAATATTTAATCTCTATTAGGCTAAACTACTGAACTTTTCCAAGGAATACTTTTTATCTTGAAAAGTTATTAGTACTCAGCTAAGTGAATAATGAATTATTTTAGGTTTGGCAGTGGCAAACGTGCTTGTCTTTTACCACGTTGCTAATGCATACTATTTGATTGTTTACATCTCTAAAAATCCACTATTAAGCTCTTTTGAGCTTAATTTAATTCCTTTTTAATTACATTATATTGGGGATTTATTTTTGGTCTTCATGCACAATTGAAATTTGTTACAGATTAGTTCTGATGAATGCTGATGGTGGTCTTTGAAAATAAATAAAAAATTGTAAAAGTATTGACCTTTTCTTAAATAGAAAAGCTGTTCTGGTATAGACTCTGTTTCATTAAACAAGGTGAATGGCTGATATTTATTCTCATTCCAGTTCTTTTGGTTTGCTGATTTTTACCCTCCGTATACAGTCAAATAGCAGATCAAGGAAGCTTAGGAAGAAACATCAGATGGCTTGAAATAGTGTTCAACTCCATACCCACTTAGACTATAAAGATGCTAGTGCCATATGCTGCTGTTACTTTATTAAAACAAATTTCCTCAAAATGGAAACAAGGTAAATAATAGGGGTGTTAAAATGTATTTAACTAAGTAAATGTGTAACTACTGAAAATTTCAGCCGTTATATGTGGTAGGGGGACAGTCAGCTCCCTGCACGCACCAACTCCCCTTGCCTTTCTCCCCCTTCGCCCCCATGCTGCTGCCTCTGATGCAGAGGCAGCAGTATGAGGTGGAGGGGGCAGATGCTTCCCCAGGAGCTGGCGCATGTGGGGAGCCTGCTTTTAAGTGGGCTCCCGATGCATACTGAAAGCCTGCGGGTAACCGTGAACATTAACTGATGAGCCCAGGCTCATTATATAACCATGTGCACATGTGGTTCCTAATCTCTTTTATACTGCGGATGGGCAAACCCATTTACAAACTAATAATGAATATGCAAATAAAATGTTACTGGTCCACCAAAAGCCTCGGCCCCTAGAGGTGCTGTGAACAGCCAGCTTAAGCTCTGGCTGTTGTCATGTGGCAGGCAGCTGCCGCAGCTGGAGCTGACTGTTCATGGCGGCTCTGGGGGCCAGGGTTAGGGTACATCCCAGCTCCCTGAGCCTCCCAATGCCAGCCCTAACCCCTAGAGCCCCCCACCGTCCACTGGGGGCCAGGGTTAGGGTACATCCCAGCTCCCTGAGCCTCCCAATGCCAGACTTAACCCCTAGAGCCCCCCACCGTCCACTACGCCCCAGTGCCAGCCACTGACTCCAGAGTCCCCTGCACTCAACCCTCCTGTGCCAACCTTGACCCCTCAGAGCCCCCCAGTGCCAGCCCCCACCCTGAATGCCTTAGTGCCAGACCCCTGCCACTTAGAGCCCCACCACCAGACCCTCCAGTGCTAG